AACCTTCCGATTGGGGGACGACCTCTGCCTCTGAGTCACAGCCGGCAAAAAATACATGGCAATTATAGAGTATGTACATAGGTATTGTTTGACTAGCCATTTCAAATTTTGTTGTTGGCAGTTAACTATAAAAATGTTGAGCAGCCAGCTTTTTTAATTGAATATAATTTGGTGTTTGCAAAAACATACAATAGGCCTACCAGCCTGGGATGCACTGATCCAATACACCGATACTGACTTTAATGAGATGCTGAGCTATTGGCCACAGAGGTCTGGTAACGTCACTTCTTTCTAACTCCACACCCCCAGAGTTGTTTCATTTTCAATCTCATTTTAAAACAGAGTTACTTTCTAATTACCTGGAAGGAATTGAGGATGGTGAAACTGTAGTTAGCAACAACAAACATGGGATTGCCTTGGTCCAATATGAGCAGAAAGAAGCCAATAATCCATGTTACTCCAAAGACTGGCGTTAGAAAAACCACCACTTTAAGGATGCTTTTGGCTGTCTCTTTGTCATCTGACTTTCCGCCATCAGTGGCAGAGGACTTCATCAGAGTAAGAATGACGACCACCATGGAAAAGAGATTTGTCAAAATAACAGTTCCCACAGGGAGGAGAAAAGCATGTACAGAGCCCTCCAAAAGTCTGTCAAAAACAAGCCAGCATGTTTTTGGATCATAGTAGCGCTTGTACGTGTATTTGCAATACACATAGCTAGAACCCACTATTAGGATTGGACAAACATAACCTACAATGCTGGAGAGGAACATGAAGACTCTTTTTCTCAGTGGGCTGAAGACAAAGATGAGCTGGTGGACGAGCATGACACTCATGCACAGCATCCAGCTGAACATGGCTAAGTAAAACAGGTGTTTGCATACGGTCAAAACTAGGCACAATGTGCTGCTGAGATCTTCAGGTGAAGTGGAAGCCAAGAAACTGCAGTCAGCGAGCAAGAGGAACATGGCAATGTTCACCATGGCTGTGTGACGGAAATGTGAAAGGTTGGTCTTGACCACAGCTGACCACACTAGAGACTCAATGATGAGAAAGATCAGCAAGGAGCAGATGGACACACCCAGGCCTACATTGGTAATGATATCTAGGATATCAGTCGATATATCACTTTTGGCCATGAGGACAGAGAATGAAGTCAGGTGGTTGCACTCGCAGACTGTGTGGTTATCATCACGAGTTTTTAAAGTGCATCCATCCCTTGACCATTCCTTTTTTGTGGTGTTCCAGAAGACACACAAAGGTTTACTGGAATTCAGCTGCTCCCTGGGGAACTTCAGCGTAATATCTAACACTGAATCATTGTTGTCCTCTAGTGTGGCTGATAGTACAAGGCTGGTAGCCGCCGTTTTGGGGAAGTTGTTTTTTAATTTATGCATTAGATTTTTCACAGCAAAAGTTTTCATTATTCCACTGGTCTTGTTCAGATTCACGCTGATGTCAAACACGGTCACATTGCAGTCTGTACTTGAGCAGATGTCGAGCTTTAAGTTTTGTGTGTCAAGTCCGCTGACTTCTCTGCTGTTGTTGACCTTGACATTCTTCACCAGACCCTCCACAGATTTAAGGTAAGTTGCTGACATATCGTGAATAACAGTGTCGTTGACCCCACCCCAGGTCTTGTTCAACATATTGCTTGCTGCTTCAACAAAATCCTGAAACAGAAGAATAAAAAAAAATAAGTGCTAATGCATATTTTATCTAGGTGAGTGATTTGTGGAAAGTGCTAACTCATTGGGTCCAAGCAGCAACCTTTGTGGATGGCTAATGAAGTCATTACAACTAAAACACAGTTCCATGAATGGCCACTTGAGGCTGGCTCCAGAAGTGAGTCAATCTCCATACGACCCCATATTAACATGCATGTTTACACCCTGGTACAAAAATTGGTTTGGTCTCTATAGCTAATTTCACCGTTCATGACAAATGTACAGGGGGTGTGTTTTATATAACTTGAGCATTTCAATTATATATAAGACTTAAAGTTATGCTTTAATTTGTTTATTAAGAGCATGGCAGCTTTGAGTGACAGGTGGGTGCTGTCACAGGTAGCTTTTTTTCAGTAAACAGGCTTCATTCGACCCACCTCAGCTCAACCAATGCTTCATGTCTTTGCCCAGTTTTGGAGTCAGGACTGGCAAGATGGCGACGGCCAGAGCTTTACAACGTCTCTTCGGAACCTATGGGTTGCGTCACAGAGACACTGTCCATTTTTAATTAAATACAGTCTAGGATTGGGACTTGAAAACTCTAGCTAGACATTTTGACAGCCCAGCTATGTAAGGGAGTCCCAGTGGGATGCATCTCATTGGATTTACACAGGTGTCTCAGAATGGCAGCTTAAAATCCTCTTCCCATTCATATGCGAACTCGAATGTATGAACCACATATGACCACATTATCACATTAGGGAAATTCCATACTGAGGTTACTTGATAACACCTAAACCATTTCCATGACAACTGAGCAATTGATTCCGTCGAGGAAGGCCATGAGATTTGGTTAAGAGCTTCGGGGGAAAAAAGTAGCCTTTGTGGGACCTTATGTTACAATTTCTTTTGCAACTTTGCTGTTTCCGAGGTCAAACATGAACCTTCAAGCTTAAAACTTCACATGTATTTCAGTAAAGGACTTAATAATTAACAGGGGCTTACGGGAAAGATGTCCTGATTCAAGACAACATTTTTCGATGCACTCGCCATCACATTAAGAACGTTGATGGAAGCAGTAACATCGGCCGTCTCGTCATCAGAGTCAGAATCAGATGTTGACCTGTTCTTAAGTCCTGAAAATATATCCATAGCAACGTCTTGGGTAGCTCCGAGTCCCTGTAAGAAATTCTAGGAAACAGAAAACAGTATCTCAGCTTTAGGATGTGCAAAAGCACACACATATGCTCACACAAAATCCTAATGGAGAGTTCTCAGTGGGTTTGAGATACTGAGTTTTAAAGTTCTCTGTTATTTATTAAAATGAAAGGAATCCTAAAGATTGAACGATTCCTGACTTAGCCCTGGATACCTAAATGGATCTTCACAGACTAATAATACAGCTTATTAACTATCAATGCAATTAAAAATAATGACTGATAATACTGAAACATATTTCACTGCTAATTGGCTTATTTCTGTTTCTCTTCTGCTCCCAGATGCAGTTTTTGCACGGACAAGCTTGGGTCACCAGTCTGAGCTCCAAATTATGTCATTATCATAAGTGTGTCTGCTGCAGTGCACAAGTTATAAACAGGCAAAAACCCAATAAGGGGTAGATCACTCAAATATTAAAATATTTTTCATAGTGGTCATTTTGACATGCAATAGTAGGGTAATCACAATGAATGCTACTAATTAAAACATCATTACATTTAGTGTAACATAGCGTTTCCAGTGAGCCAACATGCACAATACCTTGACTCTGAATGGAACGGAACCTTAATTAGCATCCTTGTGTTTGCCCTACTATTTCATGTCAAAATGGCTGCTGTGAAAAAGGTCTATTAGCTAACTAGAAACTCTAGCATGGTACCAAATGGTAAAAATTTACTATTCACCAAGTTCAAACATGATTAAAAGAAAATCCTCCCAATGTTATTGTCATTTGTATTAGTGTCATTCATAATGTTTTCAATACAACTGTCAATTTTAAGGAACATTTTAATGATCTTGTAAAACAATTTAACCTCACTGACACAGTAAAGAGAAAAAAATTTGATTGGCCATCTTGTGTACAGTCAGAGCACTGACCAGTGGTCTGCAACCTCTGCATTTTTTGACAATAAAGTCAGATAGGACCTCATAAGTCTATGATTATGAGCTGTAATGCACACTCACGTCTGCGGCATCTAAAACTTGGTTCAACTCTTCGTTGACGCAGTATGAGAACACCGGCAGCCAGTTTGTGCCGTCACAAGTGCGTGACTTATAGCCAACCCTGCCCTGTTGACATGTTCGGTTAATCACTGTATCTCCAGATGGGGTTTTTGGCCACTGCTCTACATTTATCCATTCCTCTTTGCAAAATGTTGCACCCGCTTGGAGAAAAATATAGGGAATCGTTAGTTGATGCAAGATACAATGTAGTTACAAACAAAGTAAAACACAGTGAGAATATCATATTATACCATGGACAAAGTTAAAATCGAATTAAAAGACTTTACAATTTACAAGAATTAGTTACCATAAATTACTGGGATATCCACTCGTGCACTTTTAAACTGTTTGTTGTTGTTTTCAAAAGTCACATAAACATATTGTGGTTCTTTGGTCTGCTTGCAACTGACAGAAACGGTGAAAGTATAGACCAGGTAAATTCCATCAGCTGTAAAGAAAGATTAATATTAGTGTCAGGGTTATTTTACATGCATTTTGCAGGAATATTGTGAATAGAATAGAAGTAGTGTTATATGGTGTAGCTAACAGAAAGAAGCAAAGAGGACAGATAGATTTGAAAGATTTGTCTTACCTTTGTGTTGTAGTTTTTCATTTACCAAGGCAACAAGGCTGTAATTCCAGCAGACTGTATAGTTCTCTGTGCTATTTAAGATGGTGGCAGTGACAGTGACAGGAACATTTTCGGGGTTCCCCGAACAGTCCGCAGTAAGAGGGTAGATCTTGAGGTTGATCACATCAGGGAGGAGTGCCACTCTCAGTTGCGCCTTGGCTGTGTGCCTGATTGACCCACTAATGAATCCACACTCGTATGTACCTGCAGACATGGTAGGTAAAATCACACTACAGCTGCAGCTGGGCTGTATATGACTTCTCTTAGATGACTGAGATCTGTCACCAGTAGATTTGTCTTGGAATTGAACAAACAAAGTCCAACTGAAATTTGAATAATCTATCCTTTTGGGAACGCTTGCTTTAAAGATGCACTGTCAACTTCTGTGGTGCGATAGTGACTGGCATTGGTAGAAGTACTTAAATTCTTTACTTAAGTAAAAGTAACAGGAATCTAAAATTCTCCATCGCAAGTAAAAGTCATGCATTCAAATTAAACTTCCAAACTAGTTAACTCCACGATTACAAAAATAAATCCAAGGATGGGATTGGATTAAAGCGTAAACAAAGCAAAGCAAAGCTTTTTTGTAAATATTTGTTAATATGTACCTTATTAGGCCTCAAGCAGTTAATTCAATGAAACCATCTCTTTTTTGTAAAAGGTCACAAGCCAAAAAGGTTAAGAACAGTTGGTTTATTCCATAACAATGGACTGTGTTTCATAAGCTCATTACTAGTTGTTTTATGTAAAATCTTAATTTGAAAAGTCACTAGCAGTCAATACATTTATTGTTATCATTAAAAAGTGCAGTATTTCCCTTTAGCAGTGGAGTAGAGTAGCATTTCTAGAGAAACATTCATGGGTGAGGTTGGCATGGTAGACTTTAAGGGGTGGCAGAAATATATGCTGATGTAATCACAGACAGTTACATATATCAATATTTCCTTTGAAAAGCCCCCAAATGAAGACATTACATTATCATGACACATTAGTAAAGCATTGAATAAGAATATTTAATGGTGATATTAGAAATCAATTAATTGTTTTATTTCCAAAATTTTTTCCAAATACATGTCTTTTCTATTTATTTATAATGTGGCCATATCAGACCATTAAAGTAATTTCCATTTATTCATAAATCCACCAAGTTATTTTTAAAATTAATTTAAATCAGTGTGCTAAAAAGCATTTAACACCAAACTGGTGTGGCCAGGCATTTTTTAGGGGTGGCCACCCCAGCTGTCACAACTCTAGATTTGCCCAGTTGCCAGTCAGATTTCCAATACCTTAGCTGTCAGAACCCAAAACTCAGGCTCCCTAAAGAACACGAATATAAGGGATGCTATCATGGCACACTGTAAAAAAGAAAAGATGAGCTCATAATTTCAATGCAACTGTATTCACTGTTTTTTTTTAAAGTTTTTAGTCAAAGTCAAGTCTTTTAGGTTTTGAAATAAACTAAAAATGTTTTGCCAACCTAATCTTTTGTGGAATTGTAATTTATTTTTCTTTTTTTTTCTGTTTTGGAAACAATTCTGTATTTCAAGAAATGTTCAGTGAGTCGTAAACCAGATTCATTATTTCATTACTTGAAAAAATAAATAGTTGCAACTGAAAATATTAAATTTTTTTTTAATACGGATATTTTTGTTTCTAAAACTAAAAGATTCAAGTTTTTCTAAAGAAGAAAATGTATTGGAAAAAATTATCATAATCATTAATTATTATTAGTTTAATTCAACATGTAGGAGTTTGAGTTTAACTTAAAACTCAAAAATTTAAGAGAGTTGCCTTGAAAGTATGAGTTTTTGCAACCTTTTTTTTTTTTTTTACAGTGCAGTAATGTAAATATAACTTTTATTTCTTATTTCATGATAATTACAAATTACACAATACAATGCAAAACAAAAAAGAACACAAGTCAAAAAAACACAGAGGATAGGATATCTTAGCGAATATGAATTTTAAATTTGGTTCGACTTTAATTTAAGTAAGAATCAGAGTAAAATGTTTGTACTTGCCTGACCAGGCACCTGTCACATTGTTGAGTGTAACTTTTACACAAGACTTGTATTCCTTTGTGGAACAGCTGTAGTCCAGACTCACTACGCTGCCGGTGTTGAGCTCAAATCGCTCATTGCTCCTGCTCATGTTCCAGCCAGCCCTGTCTGTCGCCTCCTCAAATGTACAACTCAGTATTGGAGTGGACTTGTAGCGCACTGTAGACCCTGGGGCCTCTATGTTGACCATTCCTGTGTGAAGAAAGGAAACATCTATACTCAGCAATACAGTAATTATGATTAGGCTAGGAGTAGGAACTATAGCCTTTCAATGTCAGTCCAGTGGTTTGTGAGCCCCTACAGTCATTTGTCTGTTCAAGACTTGGTTTCTTGAATGCACAGATTTGTAATGAATGTGTTAGAGACTCATTTTTGGTTTTTACCTAACCCCCTCCCTCCATAGTTATCGCAAATAATGATTACCCCGATGTTATATTTCCCACTGCTGTTCACTGCAGTTTACATTAAAACCAGACCTTCTGAGATGAGCACAGATTGGGAAATAGAGAGAAAACCAAATTGACAATGAAAACGTACCTTTTTTTGTTTTAAAATATTTTTGGGGCTTTTATGCCTTTGGTCGCTTTTATGCCTTCGAAGACAGACAGAAATGTACTTACATAGGACATGCGCTCTACTAAGTGAGCTACGGTACCCAAACCCGGATTTTTGAAAAATAGCCAGAGCAATAGCTCAGAACAAAAAATACAGCACATTGTAGTCTATTGAGAGCATGCACTACAAACATTATGAAACTGAGTCATCATGATCTACTGTAAATGAATAAAAACAAACTTTTACTGACCTACAGTGTCGACCTTAAATACACCTTTAAGTTTGGTTTCCAGGTCAGTCACTATGCCTTGAAGTCTAGAAGTGTCAAATGTGACACTGACTGCTGCCTCAAAGTCAGCAACGGTATCGCTTAGCCTTTAAGAGTTGGAAAGGATCAGTGGTTAGTGAGAAACAGAGTATCATTATGATAAAAGTCATAAGAGATTTGCAGCTAGAATACTCACAACCAAGCTGCCTAACCCTAGCTTTTTTTTGATCAGACTTTGAATGAATATGTTTAAGTTACCAGTGTGTAACATTTATGAGGGTCTATTGGCAGAAATGGAATATAATATGCATAGATATCTTTTCATTAGTGTATATGATCTGAATATAAGAATCATTATATTTTCGTTATTTTAGAATGAGCTGTTTTTATCTACAGAGGGAACAGGTCTTCTTTTATCGAGTCCGCCATGTTTCTACAGTAGCCCAGAGCGAACATACCAAACACTGGCTTTAGATGGAGCCTTTTTCACAAGTTTCGTGGCAAATATAGATTCTCCTTGATGCTTGGAGTGAGAGGGTGAGGTGAGAGCGTGGTACTCACAAACTATACTGCTAGATGATTCTTAATCTTGCACACTGGTGCTTTAAGTTGTTTCACTTCACTTTTTTGAGAAATTACTATTTCTAATAGTGAATATAGGGAACATTATTTGCAAGCTCTGGTTTCATCAAGTCCCTTGATCTGGTGTCAAATAATGGTGAATGCCAGATGTTGCTGTTTTACTGGGTCTCCTAAAAATCACAATTATATACTCCCAATTAGTGATGACTATGAGTAATAGCTTAACTGATTACTAACCAGACATGTACCTGAGTGATCTTTTTTTCTATTCAATCTGTTTACCTTTACCTTTACCTTTATCATCTACGGTTGTGTGCAACAAAGAAATGACACAATAAATCCATATCTTTGCAAAGTACAATACCTTTGACCGGTTACATTCAGGTACTCAAAGCCATTCAGTTCTTCAAAGGCAGTTACAAGCTTAAAAAAAGAGCATTAAATCATTTGACTTATGTAATACAGTACAAACATTTTAAATTTGTGATGAGAGCGAGATTTGTACCTGAGAAGTTTTGGTGGTATCCCAGGCGTTGAGGTCCAGTGTAACTGACCCATTGATTTTAACTGTGTTGATTGCAAACATTATCATTATTTTAAGTTATATCAACAAGCAAAAATATCACAGCAGTGTAGTATGCAGGAGTACTACAAAATTTCAGCAATTTACAAAATACAATAAATCATCAAAAGAAAATATTAGTAGGCCTACAAATACTACAAAACAAGAGGGAAATGTGTTACGCAACAGGACTGTTACCTTTGACTTTGGCAACACAAAGAGGTGCGATGTGGGATACATTTTGTGTGCAAGTAGTTTCACGGCAACATCTGAAATTGTAGCACACATTGTTGCTCCAAATGTATCCGTCAGAGCAGTTGCAACTGGTTTCATCTCCAATAATCAGGCACTCTAGAAAAAGGTGCACAGTTGTCAAATCCCTTCAAACTTGGTTTCAAATCTTAACTATTTCTATATAACATTAAAGCTGCAGTTGGTCATTTTTATAGAAACAACTATACCATACATATTTGCTAAAACTTTAACTATAT